AATGGGTTGGAGATTATAATAGTATAGATGTTTATTTACTTTACAAATTCTAACTATGCATATGATACGTTTTTATTTAATTTTAAATGTAAACTATCCTACAATTTAAATATCAGATAGTTTGAATATCTTCAATATTTTGAATAGAAAATATTCGGGTAATTTATTTTTTGCCTAATTTGGTTTAAATAATATTTCAAGATATTTAATATTTAAATATTATATATAACTACTATTTGTTGGAATATAATTTATTTTTTAAAAAATTTTAAATACCCATTTGGTTCTCGGTTCGGTTTCTATTTTTCGGTTCCAGAAAATATATGATATGATCGATTATTTATGAAATTTGGTTTAGTTTTTTTTTTTCAGTTTGATACGGTTCGGTTCATCTGGAAAATTGTATAACATATACATTATCTTATATAAAAATTCATTTAGAAAAATTTGTTTTATTTCAAAAATAAATCCGCGCTTTTTAAGCGCGGGTCAAAATCTAGTTCTTATTTAAATTTCTTGCTTCTCACTCTTTAGTAAGACGTACTATGGTACGACGACGGTAAAGACGTTATTTTATTTAACAGATCTAGTGTTAAATGAACTTTCTAAAGTCATTGTTTCTTAATAATTCTTGGTAACACATTAAATTACAATTTCAGTTAGAAAATAATAAATAGGACAAACACACACACATAAGCAATCATAATAGCGATATTAACTTACGTAAATACAATAGCATAACTAATTATAGACTGTGTACTAGATTTTGACCCCGTATATCCGTGCGGCTAATCAATCTTTCATTTTCTAAATATAAAATTTTAACATATGTTAACAATTTTATTTTCTATATAATTTATTACATAATTTATGATCTTTTAATCTTTTTAAAAGGTAAATGATATTTTAGTCACGTAAATGGTGGATGATATATTATTTATTTATTTAAATGATTTTTATATATTAGTTTATCAATTTAATCTAATTTTATGTAATTCAATCTATTAATTTTATTTTAATATAATATATATATTATACTTATTATTTTTATAAAATTAGCATATAATTTAATATTTTGTGTTTATAATAAAATTTTAATTAAGATTAATGTATAATAATATTATACTATAATTACGAAATTAATAAATACAATAATTAAAAAAACATATTTAAAGTTTTAAAAAGATTTTCTTTGATTTTTTTCAACAGATTTTGTAATTACTAAAACTAAAATTTAAAATTACAGTTAAAATAAATTTGTTATTAATATCTTTATAATTATTTAAAATGTTATTCAGTAAATAATAAAAAAATGTAATTGAATATATGGACGTAGTATAACTATTCTATAGTAGATAAAAATGATACTTCTCTTTTAATAGATAAGATAGGTACATAATCATTATTGTGACAGTTACTTAAAACACGCCTAATCATTATTGTGGAAATAACTTAAGTACGCAGCATGACAATAATGACAAAAAAAAATTAACATCAGTTTATTAGAAAAGAACATGCGATGATCAGGATATATAACTTCACCTTATATTTTTCTTGAATCAATAATTATGTTTGGTGTCTAGTGATCAAATATGAGAAGTGACCAAATATGAGAGAAATTAGTTATATATATATATATATATATATATATATATATATTTGAATAATCATTGTTCCTCTTGGTTATGATGTTTTTAATAAGAATTTGAATAAAGAAAAATTAACATTATTTTTTTTTAAATTTTTTTTGGGCTAAGTTTTTTTAAAGGATAATTGCTATCTAATATTTCTTTACAGTTGATTTTTTTTCTTGACACTTATATTTTCTTCATGATTTTTAGAAAAAAAAAATAGTATTAAATAAATTATTTGTACAAGTTGGTTTTGGTTTTGGTATAGGTACTATTACTTTTTAAAAAATTCGTTTTATTATGTCAATTTTATTTTTTGGCTTATGACTTTTCTAATTAAGACTTGAATAAAGAAAAATTAGCATTAAATAGTCTTTGACATTTTTAGCTTTAATATTTTTAAAAGGATAAATACAGGTTTTTTTTACAATTATCTTTTTTTTTTAAAGGATAAAGAAAAACCAGTGTTAAATATAATACAATTTTATTTCAGTATATGAGTTGATAAAAACGATAAGAATTAACTTTTTATTTCATTTTTATTTACTTATAACATATGTCACAATCTAAAATATATATTTGCCATGTGTCGCGATCGTGTTAATTAGTAACTTTGAACCCAAGCTTTATACAATAAGATTTATAAAAATAAAAAATAAAAAATAGTAATATAAGAACTTTTGAGTTAGTATTCTAAATTATAATGAATTTGATTTATTAAAGATAAAGATAAACTAATTGCTAATTTGTTATTCTTTTTTCCATAAGGACTGGTTTTATTCTGTTTTGACCGCTTAACAATTCACTGGATTTGTTTGTCACAAGACTCACAACCATTCTTTTATTGATAATAAAACATTACATTTCAGAATACAAGAAAAGGATATAACAGCTTTAAAACACGTAGAGGAATATAAAAAGATGAAGAAAAACACACACAAAAATACAATAAAAATTTGTATAATATTTAAAGAAAAACTAAAATTCTGATTTTTCAAGTCCAATAACATTCTCCATCTCCTTGAGAATCAAAATTCTGATTCACCACCAAGGAAGCCTCCCATGATGGATGATAAACCACTGTCACCTGCTCCACTGTTAACGTCACCACCATCGCCGTTGAGCATGTTCATTGCCAAGTCTTGACACAAACTCTGCACCACTAGATTCATCATTGGGTTTACGTTAGGGCCATTAGGTCGGTTGGGTCCTCTGTTCTGCCTATTAGGTTGTCCGTTTCCCCTAAATCGTCCTCCATTCGGCCTAGTTTGGACTGGTCTACCCACAGTTCTTGGCTGAGTACCACCACGCCCATTCCTGCCCATTCTCCTCCCCCTATCGGCCTGACCATATTGGTTCTGGTTATTCATTCCCGGTCTACCAACCGGTTCAACCATTGAAGAAAACTGGTTATTGGGCACGTCATTTAAACCACCATATTGTGAATCATCCATAGTCTCGTACGACTCATCCTCATTATACATAGACTCACTTCCTCCGGTGATATCCGTGTAGCAATCAAAATCGTTTTCACCATAAGTTTCATCATATCCATCGTCACCGAAGTCATCTCCAGCTTCGAAGTCACCTCCAGCTTCAAAGTCACCCCCAGCTTCGAAGTCATAGTCACCTTCGTCACCGTAAGTATCACCATATTCACCAGCATACACCTCATTTCCGTCGACTTCATTGTAGCTATCGTTATTGCCACCATTGTCAATTACATTGGCGGGTCCTCCATTAGGCCCATTAAATCCTTGAGGTCCATTGAATGCAGCTAGATCACGAGGCCTATTAAACCCAACAGGTCCCCCGCCTCTTGTTGCATTATTGCGTATATTCTGCAACCTTCTATTTTGAGGTGGTCCTCTAGGATTTTCGATTGGATTCTTGGACCCTTGAATCCTACCACCACGCCCATTACGGCCCATATTGTTCGACCGAGGGGCGGGACTATTAGGACTTGAGTTTTGCTTCCTACCACCACCCGGCCCTGGGTTCGTACGAACTGACACTGGATAAAGATCAACCTGATCAGACAAATCATTAGACTGGCTACGAGCATCACTGCTACCACCAAATTCACTCTCGCTATAGGCAACGTCATTGTCATTGGCATCACCATAAGCCACAATTTCAAGGCCGTTACCGTCAAAGTCTTGTTCCTCGTCATTAGCCTCTCCATCTTCAGTACCTTCATACCCATTAGCTTCATAATCAATCTCAACATCGACTTCACCATCAAACTCTTCGTTCACTGCACTACCACCATCGTAGACACTACCTTCCATTGACCCTTGGTCAAAGCTCTGTCTTGCTACTTGACCAATAACTTCACTCGGTGTAATAGTCCCAATCGGACCGTTACAACCCAAGTTGTTGTTCTGTCTCCTCCTTGGTCCGTAGACACCAGCGTTTTGACCTATAGGCCTATTGGGATTTCCAACAGGCCTATTAGGTCTGGTAGGATTATTCATAGGCCTATTCATGTTCCCTTGTCCGGGCCTATAATTGCCTTGATTGGGTACAGGATGGGAGTTTTGATGATGAGGGTGACCGGCATGAGGACTACTACTATGTTGAAGGAGGTGTGGATGATGAGCATTGATGCAACCGACATGAGCATCGAACTCGCAAGGGATGCATCGATAGAGCCATTGGTTCGTCCCAATCTTAAGGCATACGTCGCAGGAGAATCCCTTATTGGCTCCGTAGGGAGAATGAAACGCGAGTTTAAGGCTATGTTGAGGATGAGACTTGTGGATGATCGAGAGCGGCTTGTAAGCGCATAGCGCGTGGATGTCAAAGTCGCAAAGAGAGCATTGGTAGCTAAAACCAGTTCCATTTACGCCACAACCATCACAGTTGAAGTATCCACCATCATAGACTGGAGCCACCAGAAGGGTGAGCCTATGAGAAGGGTGAGAGGGATGTGTGATTACCTGCTTCATCTTGCTGCATGACTCATGGAGAGAGAAGTTGCATGGCCTACATGAGTAAACCCGGCCGTTTCCTCCGGCAAGTTTACAAGCGCAGCACGGTGGTGATGATGTCGCCGGGATTAACTGAAGGGGATGTGGGTGGCTGAAGTGGTTTATAAAGTTATTGTTTTGTACTGTTGGCTTTCCCATCGTTCTTTTTTGTTTGTTTTGTGTGTGCTTTCTGATTTCTATCTTAAAATGAGATTGTTACTTGAGAGGAACACAACTTAGTGTTTAATAGAGAGAAGAGGGTTGATTTTTCGATAAGGGCTAAGTCAGTCAACGGGGACGCGTTGCATTGCACGTCTCCTGGAAATGGCAATACATGACTAAAAGAATAATAATACACATTGACTTCTTTAACTAGTGGCAATTTCTAATTATGTGTGGTTCCTCTGTTGTTCTTGTTTTTGGGTTATCCACATGTAGGTGTGTTTGTATAAAACGAGAGGCTATATTTGATATTCTAATCCAACGATCAAGAAGAGTTGGATCGTAGTGCATATTTTTCAAACTTGGACGTTGTCTTTCATAATACATTGAATGTATCTTAATCACACTAGATACCAAGTTGTAGGTTTTTAACTGATATCCAATTATTAATGTCCTTTAGTTTTTTTCTTAAAATATCTGATTACATGTAAGCGTTTTAACTTTTCATTTTCAGAGTTCGTTTGACATGTATATACCGTCACTGATGATAAGAGTGGTGAAAATATTGGCTTTGGTGGACTCTGTTGCTGCAAAAACGGTGGGGATTTTGAGATTTGCTTGGAACATGTAAGGAGATCTTTTGTTCTTGACTACTAGACTTTGCGAGGGTTTTAATTCTAATCGTTTCCTGCAGAGTGCTATCCTTATATTAAATAATAAAATGTCAAAAAAACTGATTTTCTCTGTATTCTATAGGCTGATACAGACGGTAACGGAGCAATGTAGATCAATATACTTGATAGTCAAAATGAAAGAATAATTAAGAACAAAGTCATGCTAGGCTGATCATAAGCACCACCAATGGCCAAGCAGAAATCTACGTTTGGTACTCTTGCAAGTAGGGAGTCCTATGTAGAAGCTTCTCGGCCTTCCAACACTTTAACGAAGACAACAATGAGGAAGTACAGTAATTGGCACATACATAAATGTCTATGATAGTTAAAACCAATTCAACAAATCATTGTCTCTGTTTCGAGATATATCTCAATGTAAGCACTAGAACAATCCCTGAGGGACGTGAATGATGGAAGTGGCATTATAAAATTTATTTCTAAAGTTGATGGAGACAATGTAATCTTTGTGCTATCTTTTATAATTTTGATAAGCACATACAATTTTTTTAGGATGGAAGAATAAACTAGGAGATATTGTGGCAATGATGAGAATACAAAACCCAGAGCATAAGCTTTGCAAATGGCTGTGAGAAACATCTGCTGCGCACTCTTGATTTTCTTATACAGTCTGAGAAGTGAGGAATCAATGATTACTGAGGATATGCCTTGATCATTTTCTTCTTCTTCCTATTACTCCTATTCTTTCTCCTAGACTTGTCTGTTTCTGTCTCTGCGTGCTGATATACCCGAAAGATACATGTTGATAACCCGAAATATGTCAATCGACAATGAACTGGTTGTGTCGATTGATGGTGTCTGACCGGTGTCGATCGATGGTATCTGTTTTTTGTACCTTTGTCAACTTTATCTCTACATCTTAATCCTCTCTGAGAAGTTTCTATGTGCTGGTGATCATCCAATACCCTAATATAGGAATAATAATACTTATTGTGCCATTCAAAGAGTTGATGGCTCTTGTGACCTCTTGAGGAGAGCCGAGTGTCACAAACCCAAAACCCTTTGATCGACCAGTGTGCCTGTCGTAAATGACCCTGGCCTCAACAACTTTTCCTTGCTCACTAAACAAGCTCTCAAGAGCCGTGTCATCCACACCCCACGAAAGGTTTCCCACATAAACACGGTTTGATGAACCTGAGCCTGAACCTGACCCAGAACCATAGCTTGAACGCTCAGACCTTAACGAGAACGTCCTGAACGTTGAGACCCGTAGCCAGAACGCTCAGAACCGTAGCTGGAACGTTCTGAACCGTAACCACCACTTCTTGGTCCTCTGGAGAATGATTCCTCCCTCTTTGGTGGAGGAGTTCCAGCGTTAACCCTCAAAGCTCTGCCTTCAAGTTCCTGCAACGTTCATGACAACAAGATTAACAACAACAACCACAAGGTACAAAATCTAAAAAGACAAGCTGCTTCAATCTTATACAGAACAACATAAACCACAAAGTCTCCACAAACCAAATAGAGGATAAACACCATTCCATGAAAAAACTAAAGCCAAGACATGAATAACATTAAACACACAAGTCAAAAACAAAAAGGACACACATAGACTACTAGATAAAACAAGAAAACATCAAAAACTCACATAGGTACGAATAACATTACACAGACAAAGCCAAGAACAAGTAACAACACACTGAGAGACAATTCAACTTATATCAACAAGACAAGAGCACAGTAAAGAAGAGGAGTAATCTTCTTACACAGCCATTAAACTGCTGAGCAGCTGCCTCAACTTCAGCTGCAGTAGACATTGTCACAAACCCAAAACCTCTGCTCCTGCCAGTAACTTTGTCATAGATTACCTACAAACAAAACCAAACCCATTTCAAATCAAACCTCATCTCATCTTCAAAAACCCACTTAAAAAATCTCAACTTTTTCATCAACAAATCTATAAAGCACCAAACTTTACAAACAGAATTAGTCAAATCTCATCTTCTCTTCAAAGAACCAATTCAAAAATCTCAACTTTAATCAACAAATCTATAAAGCACCAAAGTTTACGAAGAGAAGAATTAGCCAAATTTCATATACTTTTCAAAGACCCTATACAAAAATCTCAACTTTAATCAACAAATCTATAAAGCACCAAGCTTTACGAAGAGAATTAGCCAAAATTTTATATTCTCTTCAAAGACCCATTTCAAGAAAGCTATGAAAAATCTCAACTTTCATAAAAAAAAAACTATAAAGTACCAAAATTTATGAAGATAATTAGTTTATACCTCAACCATCTCAACAGTTCCAGCGCTCTCAAACAGCTGAGCAAGCTGAGCAAAGCGCTATCAACATCGAAAGAAAGGTTACCGACGAAGAGTTTGAGGTCAGCGGAGAAGGAGTTACGCTCTTGTGTCGGCGGGGGAGAATCATCGTCAGTGAACATGTCATCTTCCTCCACTTCGAAATCTGATGATACGGCGACGTTTCTGGCGAAATGCGACAGGTCGAAGGAGCATTTGACGGCGCAGGAAGCGAAGAGAGGGTTGAGTTTGAAGGAGAGGGAAGGGTGTAAGATGGAGGCGGAGCGGGAAACGCAGAGAGGAAGGGATTTAGGGTTGAAGGAAGAGAGGGAAACAGAGACATGGCTCTCTCGCTGTGCTTTGGGGAGGGGATAAGGTTTAAGGGTTTCTTCGTGAGATATGAGAGTGAAGAGATAATGAGTGAAAGCCTCAGATGCTCTTAATGAGGTAAAAAGTGATCTAACATACTCTCACAAAATCTGGAGTACTCTTATTTATTCTGATACTCTCAAGAATGGTGGTTAATGTCGAAAATGCCCATGACCGATTTAATGAATTGTTTAATGAATAATTCGAAATAATTCTGGAATATGTCTCTCCAAATTATTCTAAATTGATCGATATTCATCGAGCCGTCGTCGAGGAGTTCTTCTTCTCGAGTATTAGTCGAATCCAGTCTTCTCAGAACATTCCCTTGTTCTTCCTTGCATATTATTGCGATATCGTCGCTTGGATGCAATCATTGAACTTTTGATTCCATGTAACAGGGTATGTATCTCAAATCGTCACAGGGATTTCAATTAGATAGAAGATTTTGTATTTGTGTATGAACTAATCGAGGAAGATCGGAAAGTTTGAATGGTCTAGTTATTAAGGAATTCGATAATCAACAACCGTATAATTGAATGTCGGGAATCAAAGCTGTTTAAAATTTGGTTTGAATTGAGAAGACTCGAGTCATTGTAACTGGAAGTTTCTTATTCACTAATCGAAGATCAGAAAGGAAGGAAAGTGTGGATAGTCTGTTTATAACTCAATAGGATAATCAACAAATAATCAACAACTGTATGATTGAATGTTAGGAATGAAAGGACGATTCAATCAAAGAAGATTAGACGTTGGCCGATTACTAATTGATTATTGACACAACTGTGTAACATGGTGTAACGAAGTATAACTTTGATGGTATAATATTATAACCAAGTATAACTTTAGGGGTTTAATTTGTTTTTCATTGCAGACAATGAGTCATTTTTCGACGAACATACACTTTGATTATGATGGACATTATTCGAAGGATGGAGATGATTATGAATGGATTCCAACCGAAGGTTGTTTGTATGCTATATCCTTTAAGACATCATCGTTGGAGGAGATCACTTATTCGATGTTGAAGGAGAAGATATGCAGGAAGATGGGAATATATCCGTTTATGAAGAGGCTCAGTTTGGGTTACATCCCATTGGTAGTGGAACCTAAGAGGCAATCATATATTTTGGATGATGAAGATGTGTTTGTTTATCTAACATCAGTGGATAGAGAGCAAAGAAGAAGTATTTTGCATGTTGAGGACATCGAAGAATTAAAAATAGTTCAAATAACCGAGCAATTATCAAGAGTCGTAGAGAGCTCTTGTAGTGAGAACTATTGTGAGAGTGGGAGTGGATATGGAGAAGAAGAGAATGTGGGCACTGGTTTGGAACACGATGAACATCCCCACAAGAAACAGAAGAAGAGTAGGTTGTAAGCCTTTCGATTGCAGTTTTGTTTTGGTGTTTTTATCTTATGGGAACGTTGTGAGGGAATCAATTTGTATTTGTGTGTTGTATAATGTTGGTGTCAAAATTGGCCACAACGGAATCAATGGGAAAAAGTCTCTGCAAAAATATAAAAGAAATCGTTTTATAAAACGCGAAGAATCATTTTATAAAACTCGAAGAATCGTTTTATAAAACTCGAGAATCGTTTTATAAAACTCGAGAATCGTTTTAATAAACTAGAATAATCGTTTTATAAAACTCGAAAATCGTTTTATAAAACTCGAAGAATCGTTTTATACAACTCGAGAATCATTTTATAAAACTCGAAGAATCGTTTTATAAAACTCGAAGAATCGTTTTATAAAACTTGAGAATCGTTTTATAAGACTCGAGAATCATTTTATAAAACTCGAAGGATCGTTATAAACCTCGAGAATCATTTTATAAACTCGAAGAATCGTTTTATAAAACTCGAGAATCGTTTTATAAAACTCGAAGAATCGTTTTATAAAACTCGAGAATCGTTTTATAAAACTCGGAGAATCGTCTTATAAAACTCGAGAATCGTTTTATAAAACTCGAAGCATCGTTTTCTAAAATTAGAAGAATCATTTTATAAAACTCGAGGATCGTTTTATAAAACTCGAAAAATCGTTCTATAAAACTCGAGATTCATTTTATAAAACTCGAAGAATCGTTTTATAAAACTCGAGAATCATTTTATAAAACTTGAAGAATCGTTTTATAAAACTCGAAGAATTGTTTTACAAAACCGCGAAAAACCGAAACCGCGAACTAGCTTCGTCCCGGCTAGTTCGCCCAACGGCGAACTAAGCCAAGCCGGCTTAGTTCGCCGGTGGGCGAACTAGCCTCGTCTCGGCTAGTTTGCCCAACGGCGAACTAAGCCATGACCGGCTTAATTCGCCGTTGGGCGAACTAGCCCCGTCCCGGCTAGTTCGCCCAACGGCGAACTAAGCCATGACCGGCTTAGTTCGCTGTTGGGGTCAAAATCGGTACGACGGAATTAATAGCCAAAACTCCCCGCGAAAATAAAAAAGGAATAGTTTTATAAAACCCGAAGAGTCGTTTATAAAACTCGCAGACCGTTTTATAAAACTCGAGAAGCCGTTTTATAAAACTCGAGAAATCGTTTTATAAGACTCGAGAATCGTATTATAAAACCCGAGAAATCGTTTTATAAAACTCCAGAATCGTTCTATAAAACACGAGAATCGTTTTATAAAACTCGAGAAATCGTTTTATAAAACTCGAGAATCGTTCTATAAAACTCGAGAATCGTTTTATAAAACTCGAGAATCGTTCTATAAAACTCGAGAATCGTTTTATAAAACTCGAGAATCGTTTTATAAAACTCAAGGAATCGTTTTATAAGACTCGAAAAGCCGTTTTATAAAACTCGAGAAGCCGTTTTATAAAACCCGAAGATCGTTTTATAAAACTCGAGAATCGTTTTATAAAACTCGAGAAGCCGTTTTATAAAACTCGAGAAGCCGTTTTATAAAACTCGAAGATCATTTTATAAAACTCGAGAATCGTTTTACGAAACCGCAAAAAAAAACCAGAAAAGCCGTAAAACGCGAACTAAGCCGAGCCGGCTTAATTCGCCAATGGGCGAACTAGGAGACACTCGACTAGTTCACCCATTGGCGAACTAGGAGGGCTTAGTTCGCCGATGGGCGAACTAGAAACTTCCTGGACGTCCCGAGCTTCGGTCTCCCGCATTCCCGATTCGAAACTTACGTCTTTCGACACGGTCGCATTCTGAACGATGGCCGAAACATCTCCCGTTCCATCTCGATCGGAACTATCGTTCGAGTTTTACCATAAAACCGTAAAACTTCGCTTTCTCGATAAAGAACTCGAAGAAATCGTATAAAACGGCGACGGTTGACGAAACACCGAACATTGCCTAAAACATACGATTTATTCGAGATTTCTCGTCGAAATCATAAAACACGCGTTTTTAATAAAAACGTCGAGTAAATCGTAAAAAACGCGTTTTTAATTAAAAAGTCGAGTAAATCGTAAAACCTTACGATTAGCTCGAGGAATTTATTAAAAACGACGTCAGATCAGGAAACGATCCCGTAAAAAGTCGGAAAACGGATTTATCGCAAAAACGGCCTGGAAGGGCATAAAACGCGATAAAAACCCATCTCGCGATCTTAACGGAATCTAACCCGCAGATTTGATAACGTTTTGACGGTTTACTCGCAGGAGGAAAATAAAAGTCAACTTTGAAGATAAAAGGAAGGTTTGAAGAAAAATAGAAGATTTCCGCGGAAGAAAAGGAAGGATCGAGAAAAATGGAAAATTCTCGATATAGTCAAATCTTGGCGAAATGGAAAGACCGGATGGCCAAGGCGAGAAGTATATAAATAAGAGGTCTAGGGCAGAAGCAAGATAGACGAAATTCAGAGCTCTCACCACCAAAATTAGCATTTAGGAATATTTCCGTTTTTCTGTTAGCGAGCTGCGTCTCAATTAGGGTTTTTTTGTTCTTAAGTTTTCGGCTAGTCTCTTTGTACCAGTTCTACGCAGATTCGGAATAAGAACCTCTTTGCTCTCGATTTTCATTTATTCATTTAAATTTCTAAGTTTCTTGTTATCTTAAACTTTGTTGTGCGGTTCTGCAGATAGCCGGTTTCTCTGGAAACTTAGAGTTTTCCCAAAGTTTCCTTATTTACGATTATTTGACAGTAGGTGGATTTCGACACCCACAGTTTGGCGTTAGAAGGAGGGGGGGGGGTCGGATCTATCTTACATCGAAGCCGCAACATGTCCAACGAAGAAACGATGACTGGTGACAACCAAACTCGCGACGAACGCGATAACGTTGAAATAACACCACCACAAGGTACGTCTGCGGCCAACGCTACAAACGCTAACGCCGAGACCCTCGAGAAGATGCTTTTCGAGTTTAACAAAATATCGGAAGAGCAGGAAAAGCTCATCGGTTCGCTCGCGAAACGGGTAGAAACCCCAACCGCGAAAACCCAAGAAATTCGCCCCCGCGGAACTACTAAGATCCGCGGAAGAAGGCTGGACTTTGGCGCTCCTACGGATCGTCCCAGAACCGAGCAGGGTAACTTCCTGGAAAAAGATTCCGAAAAAGATAATCCTGGCGCGACGCTAAACGAATCGGAGAAACCTGCTACTCACGAACAGGAGACCGAGGGTGACGGCATCGAAAGGGTTAACCTGGAGACAAGTGACCAGGCCGATTCGATAGACGAAGACGCTGACGTCCTTCCTAGGAGAAGAAAGACTCGAAGTCCTCTGCTGGAGTCTTCTCCCGAACGTCCGTATACTGGAGACGATGGGGAACTCGACTTCGCGCGATACGCAAAAACCGCCGAGGAGCGATCTCCGGTCACTCGCAGCAAACGCCGACAAGGTCGGAAAACTGCTGGCGGTCTGACCGAGATGCGCGATCTCCGCGAGTACATCACCAAAACGGCCGCAGCGGTAAAAGCGGTGAAATCGCAAATTCACCACGCTACCAGCGCCGCACCCGTGATCGATCGGCTACTGTACGAGTCTCGGAAAACGCCCTTCACGG